AACACTAGCTAATAGAAATGCACATGTACTCTGTTTACCAAATTATTTAACAAATTTACGTCTTTTAACTTTTACTCAATTTATAAATTACATAGTTTCACTACCTTAGTTACAATGACATTAACGTGCATGTTATATTTTCACTTTTAAAAAAGTTTCAAGGTGGGCTATTCCAAAATGACTCGAAAATTGCTCAGAATGATTCTTTCATATGGACACTCTAATTGCTGCTCAGAAATAGATGCGCATAAAAGCTTCAATGCTTATTTGAGGTACATGAGGTAAACTACCGTTCAATCCATGCTATGGCTTCCATTGTTGGGACCGCATGGTACCTTGTTCTCATTGATGGCATTGGGGCCAATATGTTTCCAGCTAATAAATAAAATTTGTATTTTTATACATCTATGCATCATATTCAATATTGACAGATTTTCTATTTAACTTCTCTACAAAGTTAAACTCAAGCTTCTAATTAAAATTTGCTATTGATCATAATGCAACATTTTATATTTTCAATATAAGGATTTTTGCAACAATTAACTTGAAAATTCATTATGAAGACAGTACAATTTAGAAATTTCCATTATTTTCTATTTCCATTACTTTATATTCATACAATTACCAATGAATCTTTTCCTGATGGCATAGAAGGTTGAGGAAGCCAATCCAAGAACTGCAAGCCAGGCAGTCAGACAGACAGGGTAGTCTGGATAACCCTGGACATAGTGCACACTACCCTTATATACACCATTTTCATCAAAGCTGAAAATATAAGTTTTTTTCAAATACTAGAAAATTTTTCTTATTTGAATCTTATCTTGATTGAATTACATGTATGCTTTACCCAAATAGAGATAAATGCCACTTTTAAGAACCATGAAGGTACCTTGATGTCCTCTTCAGTTTGTTTAAGATTAACTGATGGTTTTCCATTTGAAATAGAGATTGACCGTTTAAACAAAAATCAAGAAGGCAATCACAGTAGACTTTCAAGTGTGATTAACATATTTAGAGCTATGTGCAGATATCATTTATAGAGGATGGTACCTTGATGTCCTTTTTAGCAACATTACGTGGGTGGCATTATTTGTTTCACCCTGAACAATTTCATATATGACTTTCAAGTGTGATTAACATATTTAGAGATATCATTTATAGAGGATGGTACCTTGATGTCCTTTTTAGCTCATCCAAGACATATTGGTGCTTTTCAAAAGCTGTAAGGCCTTGAAACTCATCCCTTACTTGTTGGAGATTTTGCTGAAGGAAACCACCGAGGCAACAGAAAGAACAACAGAAGAAAAAACTTATTTGGGAAATACTGAGTCCACGTGATTTGCCTGAAAAATAAAAATCTAAGTGTTTTTAAACATGCACATACTATAGACAAATCTGGTAAAAGCTAAAAACTGACTTGATCTACAAATGATTTCTATGTCTCACATGTATATTTAATTGATTTAATTTCTAGACTTTACACGTGTATTATCTGAATTAATATGTCATTCTCTCATAGAACAAAATGTTGATATAATGTTTATAGAAAATAAGCACATGGGCCTATAAATGTAGACATTTTTTAGTTTTCCTGAAACAATATATGAGCTTACAATAAAGGCCTAAAGGGAATGATATTATCATATGAGCCTAATTCGAAACATTTTTTATAAAGGTTGTTCACTAGTTTTCTCTTTAATACCTTTAACTTACCTTCTTTTGGTTCCTCTGAGAGTTCTTCTTCTGTAAAAATGAAAAGGAATACATTTTACTCATCACATTGCTACAAATTATTATAGATTCATAATCACAGGTCCAAGATATTAAAAGTTTAGCAACTGTGGTCAGACACTATCTTTAGGTACTGATTGATACGCGTTCTTATGAATGTAACATTAGACTATTAATCCTATACAGTAGTGATAGGTAAATAACATACATGAATACAAGTCATGTATATTCATATGTATTCATATATTGTAGTATATCTCCCTCTGTATCTCCCGCTCATTAATCCCATATCGAATAAATCTACTTCTCTCAGTCGTGGTGGTTATTTGATGGGAGATTTTAGATACAGGGTATATATCTACCCGAGGTACCATTAAACCAAAAGGTAAATATATTGCATTCTTCCTCGAGGGATATACCCTGTATCCAAAACCGAGCATGAATAACTAACTTGACCCATACTTTATAGAATGCCCTAAAAAGGTTAGTAAGTATAGGATAAAGTTGTATCCAAAACCCCCATCAAATAACAATCACAAAAAGGGGTGGGCATACCAATTCTCAAATCTGCTTCATCATCAGACTCATCATCAGATTCAACATCTGAAGGGACGTGTGGTTCGTAACCTGAAACAATGAAAACACACAAATAACCTTTCAAGTAGACTAGCACTAGCTCATTTTAACAAAAAAATGTAAAAAATGGAGTCAAAGTTAGAAATACAAATCTACCTCGCCTAATGATCATAGATATATTTTTTGAATGGCTAATTTTACGACGTCACGTGACAATCATGTGACCGAACATGACGACCAACACACCCACTGTAGGTTTACACGCAATGGGTCGTTTCACAAAGAATGAATACACCTCGTATGAAACTTTCATGTGTACATTGCAGAGATAATATCACATATCAAAGTATACCTGAAAACCAATAGCAATTCAAATGTTTGGTCAGTTTAATCCAGAGTTGAATATATGCGTATCATTTCTATGTAAATGGCGTCATCATTCCGAAACCGAGTGGGTATTCCCCATTAGTCATTTATTTCCTGTTGAGTGTAGAGGGGAATACCCTTTTCATTGTTGATGTGAAACTGAATCAGTGAATGCATAGGCCGATCATGCAATGGGCATTTCAATTTAGAATGGGCTATGCTAAGCTTAATATTAAGATTACGACCCGTTATGTGACCCAAAATTCTTTTCTCTTACCTTCTCGGTCAACCTCCATTGGTTCCATGACGCAACTAGACGTTAGATTAGATCTGTATATACATGTAGGTCTACTTATATTCAGTTCTTCAGTTCGTTCACGGCAAATTAACAAATATCGGTAGACTAGCTGGACTTTTCGTCTATCGCAGTATCGGACTTTTGTTTCTGCAGTAAAAATTGTCCCTGGATATAGCGTTACTGTGACGTGTGAAGTGTGACGTATTGAGGTGTGAACTGTTCCGCAAGAGCTGTCATGCATGTCATGCATGGTGGCGCGTGATCAAGGTCACTAATCCTATTATTTAATACGTCATACGCCATAGCACAAAGGGAACTGATCGAGGATTAACCTAAGCTTGTATCCGTATTTGTTGCTGATCAGCAGTTTTCCGAGGTCCCCACGTATTCAGACTTCTATATGTAAGTACTAGATAGTATATGACGATGGACAAACAGTAGCAGTTATATCAAGTGGGCTATTAAGGCTTGGCCAATTTCAATAAGTCTTCCAACAATTTTAGAGTTTACATGCTCGATTGATTTTCAATATTCTTTTCTCTAGCCTATGCGGTGTCAGCGTGACTGGATGAATGTAACTACATCATGATAAACAGTAGACTAGGCCTAATGCCTGGGTCACATTTGCTCCGATTCATTGGCCTCGGTTGATTGAGTATCCTGTTAAAAAAACTGTATACAATTGAACAAAATACTCAATCGAGCGGGCACCGGCCGATGAATCCGAGCAAATGTGAACCAGGAATAGGCTAACGATCAGTCATGAATAAAGTCAATATAATCTATATAATTATAGTAATCATCAATGCGTATTGCCCTACTAGTATTTAACACGAGTCAACAATGACTATGGTCCTTTTTATCCACCATTTATTATTGTCCTCTTTGAATAGTCAACTTTGGTGTTGAATATGGTCCTCCTTATCCACCAGTGTAGATGATGATCTCTGATCAGTTGTGAATAGTCAACATTGGTCATGGTCCTCTTTATCCACCATTAATTATAGTCCTCTATGACCAGTTATGAATGAAGTCAACATTGAAAATGGTCCTCTTTGTCCACCAGTAATTATAGTCCTCTATGACCAGTTATGAATGTCTATGTCAATAATCTGCAAAAGGCTAATAAGCCCATGTAAAGCAGATATATAAAGTCAATATTATTGGTCATGGTCCTCTTTATCCACCAGTAATTATAGTCCTCGATGGCCAGTTATGAATAAAGTCAACATTGAAAATAGTCCTCTTTATCCACCAGAAATTACAGTCCTCTATGACCAGTTATGAATAAAGTCAACATTGAAAATGGTCTTCTTTATCCACCAGAAATTATAGTCCTCTATGACCAGTTATCAGGTTATGTATAAAGTCAACATTGAAAATGGTCCTCTTTGTCCACCAGTAATTATAGTCCTCGATGACCAGTTTTGAATGAAGTCAACATTGAAAATAGTCCTCTTTTTCCACCAGTAATTATAGTCCTCTATGACCAGTTATGAATAAAGTCAATATTGGTCATGATCATCTTTATCCACCAGTAATTATAGTCCTCTATGACCAGTTATGAATAAAGTCAATATTGGTCATGGTCCTCTTTATCCACCAGTAATTATTATAGTCCTCGATGACCAGTTATGAATAAAGTCAACATTGAAAATTGTCCTCTTAGTCCACCAGTAATTATAGTCCTCGATGACCAGTTATGAATAAAGTCAACATTGAAAACGGTCTTTTTTATCCACCAGAAATTATTGTCCTCTATGACCAGTTATCAGGTTATGAATAAAGTCAACATTGAAAATGGTCCTCTTTGTCCACCAGTAATTATAGTCCTCTATGACCAGTTATGAATAAAGTCAATATTGGTTATGGTCCTCTTTATCCACCAGTAATTTTTTTATTATAGTAGTGGTTATGAATAAAGTCAACATTGCATATGGTCCTCTAGATCAACCAGTTATTATAGTCCTATTTTGATATGTATGGTGATAACTGTTCACTGAAATATATCATTATTTCTTTATTACAGAACAGATGGACACAGATATTTCTACCTGTTTGTTTAGTAGTGGAGCGGAGGCTGATGACAATGGTAAAGTATTAACAATAACAATTAATTAATCTATATATGATATTGGGCAATGAATACGCAAAATGATATACATTTCAGTCTTTGATATATATTTTTATTATGCACCTCATTAAAATACTCAAATCTGATTGGTTAAGAGCTGTAGGGTATTTGTTTACTATATTGCAGGACGTGTCTGTGCATCCGGGAGCTCACTCTTGTACAGTGATAGTGATGGGGAGACTGGTGAGTCAGATAAGTTCAATACTAAAGTCATGTAGAATAGTGCCATGTAAAGTGCAGTTGCACATGCACTACTTGGTTACATTATTATTGGTGAGATCAATATTGAAACAAGTGTAAACATCTTGTAGATGTCTTATTTTTTAAATTTCATGAATTTGTATTATATTTCAGATAACAACAGAAGTCTGATTGATTGCACACTAAATCAACTTGAAGAGTTAAGGCCAAGTTTGAGAACTAAACGTAGGTATTTAATTAGAAACAATATTCTATAAATTACATATTTTTCTGGAACTTCTTCACTGTTTTGTATGTCATCACTCAATGGATGGTGACATAAAATGATACAATTTAATTATCATATTTTTCAACTTTTATTAAGTTTTAAATAGTAATTATTTAACACTAAAATGGTTCATGATATGCCATAATAACACAATATATAACATATCAAACTATATTATTTTTTTTGATATCATCATCATATCATTATGATATCTTCATATCATGCACACGTGTTTCAATATAACATAAAATCACATTGCAATAATTGTAAATTGTATTATACTTCAGAAATCAGTCCAAAAACAAGGCTTTCAAGTTTACAAGCTCTTCAAGACTTAAGACCAAGCAAGAGGAATGAAGGTGGGAATACAATACTAAATGGGCTTTCATCTCTGTTCCCTTTAATATCATTGTTTTGTTTAAAAATGTGATCTCTGAATATAGCAGGAAAATAACACATCACCAAAGATGTTTAAGCATACAAGTACAGTAAAACATATCATCTGTACACAGGGAGATATGTCCAGTACTAAAATAGTACTCATTGCATTTTAACGCTGGGTACTCATTCCAGTAAATATTAGTACCAAATGAGCACTTATGACATGAGTACTGCATACTGCATGAGTATCAGCATATCTCCCTGTGTAAATGAAACCCCTCAAAAGTTCAGCATTCCTAATAATTTTAAACAGTACAAAATTTCATTTAAATTTGTATAAGATATTTATAGGATATGATTATCCTATGATTTTGAGGAATATCATTTTTATCTACGAGGTGATATTGATATCTGCACGAGACAGCAAAGCAAAAGAGTAGATTAAAATGATATTCTGAAAAAAGTCATAGGTTATTCTTATTATCCCACACTTACAGGGAGTGAACTAAATTTATTTTTTAATGTTATCATACATCATTTAGTACACTTATTTTTAATGTTATCATACATCATTTAGTACACTAAGTGTAGGATAATTATCAAATATGCTCACAAAACAAACATACAGTAACAGTAAACCTGTCTTATCAAAACATAATTAGGTTTCACATTTATACCTTTCTTTGACCTAAATTGTATTGTATTGTATCCAAACATTATAAAATTGCCAATCAAATAAGTGACTTTCACTTTGTCAGGTGTGAAAAGACAACGCCAATATCCTGGATGGACACTAATTAAATGTGGGGGATATTACAAGTTAAGCCTTGGGCTAAGTGGTCATCCTGCAGTAGATGCCAGTGGGACAGAGTATCCACATATATCAGGAGCCCAGTTTTCCTCAGGTGGAAACCTTTTAACAGTAAGTTGGCACACAGTAACTAAAAACATAATTTAATGGACACAGTGTATCCCAACAGACAATATACATTTTATGATTTCTATTTATTGCCTATTGTAACAAAATTTTTTCATACAAGTACTCTTTACAGTGACAACATGGCTTTTTACAATTCAGCACACCTGAAATTATTTTTTAAGCAAGGAAATGGGCCAAAAGTGAACTTCCCGCCAATATTTTCGGAATAAAAAGTTAAAAATTCCATTCTTTAACGACAATTAAATTTAATTCTCAGTTGTCGTTAAAGAATGGAATTTTTGACTGAGAATTAAATTAAATTTAATATTGCAATTTTTGATTTCAAATAGCATGTATATGTATATTACAGAAACTCCTCTGAATATAAATATGCTGCATCTTGGGCACACTTGTAACATGTTACCATAGCTTATGGTGTTGTCCCACTCAGGGCATGTGGGCTCACTGTTCACCACCGTGTGATGGCAGACAGAAAACACGGAGGCGAATGGTGAGCTCACACAGCTAATGTGACAACTTCTTTATTAACAAGAATTTAAAGCATGTAAACTTTTTTACTTTGTAACCAAATTGTGGTCTACTGATGAGGGAAACGTAATTTGACTTTATTTCCAATACCTCCAAATTTTCTCAATTTTTAAAAGCTTTTTCTTTAAAAACATATATGATGTTAGTGGATGGATCTTGCCACACCTTGAAGATGTAAATGGACATTCTCGGCCACACTGTTTTAAATTTGTCAAGGAAAATGGACACACTAGAATGTATTACAAAGAGTGGTCTACTGATGAGGGAAACATAATTTGACTTTATTTCAAAAACCTCCAAATTTTCTCAATTTTTAAAAGCTTCCCAGACTCATGAATGCCTTTGAGCGATGTGTTGAAACGATGCAACCCACAGCAGCAGAGGTAAATCACATTTTGACAACAAGAAAACACAAGGAAATACTCAGAAATTCAATAAAAAATCCTAGTGCACTATTTCCTCCAAGATATTATTGATTATATTACAATACTAGTTTCTTTAAAAAGGGACAAATGACATCTGAATTACATTGTAAAAAACAAGTCTATGCTTTGAGGTTCAATCGCACATCTATTTATAAATTATTTAAGGAATAGGGCATGAGATAATAGTTTACATTTAAAACATTTTTATGTTACATATTGAAAATATATATGGTGTTAGTGGATGGATCTTCCCACACCTTGAAGATGTAAATGGACATTCTCGGCCACACTGTTTTAAATTTGCCAAGGAAAATGGACACACTAGAATGTATTACAAAGAGTGGTCTCAATTTTTTCCTCAATTACAATAGTCGAAAATTGATGATAAACTTGATGAATTCTTGAAAATCGACATTTCAAGGTTAACCAATGGGAAATTTAGAGGTATTAGAAATGAAGTCAAGTTACGTTTCCATCAATATTAAAGTTATTTCATTGCCAGTTAAGTAAATAAAAATTCAAACGGAGCTAAGGTTGCCAAACTTATTGAGGGGAGTGTATGTTTCAGATCATAAAAGAAGAAACCATTGGAACAGTAGTAGCTGTAGCAACAATGGAAGACAGACACTGGGAGGGGGTGAAAAGAATTTTCAATAAATATGAAGAAAGGTCACCCAACAATAGCATACCACAGAAGGTAAGACAAAATAATATTAAGCACGGTTACATAGCTGGATCATATTAACTGCAGTTGAATCTTGATTTCAAAAGTTTCGCCATGCAAATTATAAATAATAAATCAACAATTATATTCAACCACAAATGAATGCCCAAACACCCGCAATATCAAAGTCTTTCTTTAGTGAAGCCATTTTTTTTAAATTCTCCAATATCACGTTTGTCTGAGCATCTATTTGTGGTTACCATCGAAGCTTTATTAATTTGCAAGGGAAAACATTTTGAAGTAGAGTTCAACTTAGTTGAGCTGAAATAGAAAGTTTATCGAAAACAAAAGAATTTCAGCGAACATCTTGAATGAAGCTAACTGCAGTTAGAGTCATCCAGCTGTGGCACGGTGATTAAAGATCAAGGGAAACAAATCGAGTAAAGTTGTAAGGTGGAAATATGTTTCCCGGCTTTTCAGAATGGGATCAAGCAAATGCCTTGATGCAATCAGTCAACATTCAAAATTCAAAAGGCTAACCAGAATAATGGCAACGCCAAAGCGTAGCGAATCCCATCGAACAGAAATGGCTGGCATTTTTACAAACGAAGCGCAAATATCATAAAACAACACACCAGAAAGGCCACCATTTCCAAAATGGTTGCTCACTAGCCAAGTTGCCATCAGAAGAAATAATATGCTTTTAAGTAGCCACCTCTAAAAATTTTGAAAAATCGCACACGTACTTGTAAAATAACACACATAAAAATGGTGGCCATTTTTCAAAATGTCCGACTACTCCCCAAAGTTTAATTAGACAATGTGCCATGCTTAAAGTATTCACATATCAAATATGAACAAAATCGCTCCATATTGCTATTACAGTTTTACATATTGCACCTAAATTACTGTAAAATCGTCACTAAAATGGCCGCCATTTTGAAATGAGCGGCTATTTTGAAAATCGGCTTTCGAGCAGAACTTCTACCCCCATAGGGTATATGTGTACAAAACAGTTAGGATATACTGTAAAACGGGTATTGTTAGCGAGGGGTAATTGTTAGCGATCGCTATAGTTTCGCTAAAAATTCAATTCGCTAAAATAAACCGGGGTTAAAATATACCGGGCGCTAAAATTTGCAAATTCCCGGGAAACTACATGAATACTAGTATTTAAGGAGCTTTTCGTTCAGTGCTCGACTTCCGGTTTGTAATTTGAAAAAGGTAAAATTGAAAAATCGCTAAAATATCCCAGTTTCAAAATTATCCGTTTTACAGTATATTCATGATAACATCAAAATCATTTGATGATGTAATTGTAGAGAAATGAATGTAGCTATTTGTCTAGTAATATAGATTTGCTAAGGACTAATCAAACCCATTTTTTCATCAGTTTTTCAGAATGATTACAACAAAATATTGGAATGGTTTAATTATAAACCAGGCAATCAGCAAAGCTGAATCTGGATCACTGGCTTCGGCCATCCAATGGATGAGCACCAAAACAAAACAAACAAAATGGATTGAACAGTGGGATAAGTGCCCAGATGTTCTTAAGTGGGAAGAGGCAGTTGCTGCAAGTTTGGTACAACTGTCCGATTTGGATGATTTCTTGGGTGAGATTGAATAACAAATTCTGTACTTCTACTTAATTTAGCGCTGCTTACAGGTTACAGGGTAATCCAAAAATGTTCACAATTGAGTCACATCATTACTTCTCTAATATGAATGATCAACAATTTATTTTCACACATGTACAGTAAAAGTTTTGTATGGTTTACAGTTGAAAATTTCAACTTGAAATCTATTTTTTTTACTTTTCTTCTTTAAAAATTGAATTATCTGCAAAATTCACATTTTTGCAGAATTGCAGCAATTTTTTTATATTCAAACTTTATCTTTATTGCACATCATAGATGATCTGCTTTTGCATGGACGTTACTATCTTTTAACTTGTCTATTCATACCGTTTTCTACACAGAAATAAATTAGAGGAGAAATGGAATGACAAAATTGTGAACATTCTTTTTGGACAACCCTGTATTTAGGCTGATTTGCTGTTTAAAACATTTGGCAGATACTTAATTTGGCAGACTTGCAATATTTTAAAATCTAATCACACTAGGGATTAGTAATACAGTCATACATATATGATCATACATACAGATAACAGTTATAAAACCTACTCAAAAAAGATTTCAACCCTTCAATTTTTTCCACTAAGTGATTTCTCAAAAAAAGTTCTGAAATTATTATATCAATACAACAAAATTACTCTCCAATAGCTTTTGAAATGATTTTTGAATTTGGAAGAGTAAATATGATATATTGTATGTTTACATTATTTCAGAACTAAAGCTGAATCCTACAAATCTTGAGAGATTCAAAATCTGGGCGATTGGACTTTGCCAAGGCACTCAAGTGGATGAATTAAAAATATCAATTGAAATTACAAAGCACGGAGAATTAGTGAACTGTGATAGTACAAGATTACAAGCATTTCTTGCACAGGAGAAGCACAGAATTAAAAAAGAATATCTGCTAAAATACAATTCTGATGAATGAACTAAGATATTTCACCATGTCAACCAAAAATTGTCATACACATGACACTTGATTCAAGAGTTATAATGTAGTACTAGTGCACCTGTTGTATTCTCCCAATCATTTTCAGGTTGAAATTATTATTATATGGTTTGATCATCAGATGATATTCACTTTGAATAATTTAGCTCGTGTGTAAGTTCTTCAATCACTTGAGTAAGCACTATAAAGTATAATAGCTGAATACTGCATCATCCAATGCTGAGTCAGGCTTATCAATTCCATGTATCTGTGTATATCCGTTATGAATGAACCATTCACATATTAATCTCACTTTAAATTTTGATACTCTAGTATTCAATCTAGGCTGTAATTTCCATATTGCTCCTCAAATAGTTCCATTTGGTGTTTCTAACCTCGGGTAGAATATAAGTGGCACAGCAAAGATGGTGGTGGTTGAAGAATGAGTTTCTGAAAAAATTTCAGAGAATAAGCATTTACAATCTAATCACTTGATGGAAATTTAAACATAATATATGTCCTCATAGACTATTGCATTTTATATGCAAGTCAAGTAAAGGCTTTAAAGGTCCAGATCTTTTAAGGTCTAGGCAATGTTTGGGAGTAATTGTACATTACTACAAAATTGTATTGTTATTGTTCTACAGTATTCTACTATAACAATACAATTTTGTAGTAATGTACAATAACAGACATTTAATAATGTACATAGTTTCACTGCAATTACTGCATGACAGAGCATAAGGTGGGGTAAATCTACATGTTACATTTTTATGCAGTCCTCTTTGGAGTAGCATATTATTTTTAGTAATTTACATATCAGGGTTTTCACTAGAATTTTCAAAAACAAGGAACATAACTGTCAAATTTAATGGAAATCATGAATTTAGAATAAAAACAGGCGTTTTTTGAAAACAACCAGTGAAAATAGTCAGTTGCCTGCATATCATTTCATTGTGTTGAGAATATAATCAGTCCATAATGAAATGAGTTCTGTTCATGAAAATAATGTTTGACTCCAATGAGGGTTGCATTAAAATTCCAAGTACATAAAGAATTGCCTAAACTTATTTGTTGATTTTTGATGATAATTCACATATATCTATAATACTGTACTCCCAGCCGGTATTATTCATGTGAGACTTAATTTTGTGGAATTTCAGAATAGTTGTAAATAGCAACAAAAACGAATTGTCACGAAACTTGATAATTCAATCACTTGGAATTTTTGTTTCTTTAAAATGTTTGTCTAGTGGATGCTTGCAATAAGTTCATTTACACTGGCTTTTTATATTAGAAAAAGTAACAATGTAAAGAGGTCAAGGTGACCAGGATCTAGTAATAAGTTGTAAATCTTATCCAAATATGACAATAGTCCTTCAATTGGATAGGGTAGGTGAAATTACTTGAAATACATAAGTTTACAAAACTTGAGGATTCAGAGAATGAAGAAAACTAAACTTATGAAATCTGTAGTGGAGAAACTCTGATTTCTCAAAATTCGATAAATTAAAGGCAAGCTGGTCAAACTAGCCAGGAGTATAGTAGATCTACAGTTTGGAACATAAATGATGACTCACGTATTTGTTTTTTGAAGTGTAGATTTGCTATACATCAGTGGATCAGAGTATACAAAATGTACAAATTTTAGGGATATTTCTCTAGAAAATGTTAGAGACTATGGTTTGAAAATGGTGATCAAAAATTAACTAGTCTAGTCATTTATTGTTTCAGAATTTTGATGCATTCCAATTGAGTCTCATGTTATATTTCTTGTAGGAATTACTCCTTCCCCAGATACACTGGTGAGAGAGATTTGTTTCGAGCAATGTATAAAATATGAAAATTCAGTGACAGAAAGTCACTCCTTTATATTATACATTTTGAAAAAAATATAGTCTATGATCACTCTGTGCAAAACTGAAAGATACCGGCAATGTGGAGAAGGAGTGATTCTTATTTAAAAAAACAAACGAAGCAAATCAATAGATGCAGCCAACTTTGACTTGTGAGAAGATTGTTTTGATAGTATAAAAACAAAAATATCAGTGAATTTTCTCGTTTTAATACATTTTAAAAGAAAAATCTTCTCGCAAGTCTTTCCTCGGCACATATTGATTATTTTTTAAAACTGGAAAATAGACTATGTGTGGGAAGGAGTGATTCCTGGTCCTGAAAAAATATGCGACTCATTTGAGGAATGCAGCTAATTTCCAAGCATGCCATCCTAGTCTAAAGTCCATTTCACTGTTTTATTGCATCAGTAGAACACCAAAAATAAGAAATCAGGAGAAGTGTGCAATAATTTATGGAGAACTATGTTAATATTGTGTATGAATGACATTTGTTTATTTCAGATTATCTAGCTCTTTGTGCAATAAGCCTGTGCCCTCTTCTAATTTTAAAATTTCAGCCATGTTAGTAATATTTTTGAAAATACTATGGCAGAGAAGCATCAAAATATAAGAGGCCACACACTTCATTAGCCAAACTAGAAGCAATCAAAGATGACAAATGTCATTTATGTACTAGAGTAAAGGAATATTTTCCATAAAATGATCTTTTGATTTCTTATTTTTTAGGTTTTAATGAAAAATATACAATACCTGATATAACAGTACCATATGATGGTACGAGCTCCTGTAAAATACAAGCGAATAGGCGGAAAGTAGTCTGTAGCGGGTCTGTAGGCAGGGCAGTTTTCACTTCAGCAGGAATATGTTGGATTTTCATCTAAACAATCAGTGTTAATCCTGGCGTGTATTGACGGATATCTTTTTGGAATCACAAAAGTTCTTAAGAATATCCTTCCATCAATCATTTGGTACATCAATAATTTATCATCGTCCGTTGAAACTGTCGGAATTCAAGAATAAATATCCCCCGGCCGTAAATTGAGACTCAGCAACATCTTTCCAGAGCACGAGGGAATGCGCACGCATCACTTCCGGGTGACCTTCTCCAGAATTACGTCTCTCGTGTTTTACCTTCGTTTGCGCAAATTCTTATCATTAATATTTGAATGTGACATTTCATCGGGATATGTTTTAATCAATGTAAGCATATTCTTTACATCTTTCTTTATCTTGATGTTTGATGAAAAGTTGAAACATTGATTAACACATCAGAAATTATCATATTATTATTCGAAGCGCAGGTTTAGAAAAGGGGATGCGCACGCCTCACTTCCGCTTGACCTTTTCCAGAATTACGTCTCTTGAGTCGGGGCAATCTGCGCGAGATTCGGTTTTTACTTGGTTCGGTTTTTCATTAAAGGAAGTACTTCATTCCCATGATTCAAAGTGCTTTTCTGCCATCGGTTCGGTTTAAGTTTGTACAACACACGTCTACAAATCCGGGGCAGGTTGATATTATGTCATTACATTTGTTTTGGGTGTATACTTTTTGTTTTGACACTAAACAAAAATATTCCCGCACTATATGGTGCATCATGGGTAGGGACTGCTGTGAAATAATGAACGTAAGTGACATCTATCTCAAATTAAATGTTCTTTTTCAGCTATTAATTGCGCATGTGTGATAATAATTTAACCAATTAAATTGCTGGATTTAATGCGCATGCGCCAAAAACCGAACCAAAAAATGGAATCTCGCGCAGATTGCCTCTAGTGCGTCTCTTGCGTTTCACCTTCGTTTGCGCAAGTTCTCATCATTTCATTTTTGAATGTAACATGTCGTTGTGATATGTTTAATTCGATAATATCATATTGTTTACATCTTTCTCTATCTTGAGGAATAATAAAAGGTTGAGATATTAATTAACACGTCAGAAATTATAATATTATTTGAAGCGCATGTTTAGAAAATTTTGAAATCGTCATTGTTCGATTTGACCAATCAGCGACGATGTCATCTCAATACAAGGAGGATTGGCTCCCAGAATGCAACATCGATATGTGGTATCGAGAGCTTTCAGGGGAAAATCAGTTATACCAGAGTGTCTCATGAAACGATTAACCAGATGGCAAACAGCCGATCAGCTGTCAGCAGGGGATGTGGCCCAGCAGTTGTGTTTTTTTTTATAAATACAAGCTTAAGCACAAGGCATCTTGATTTAACCTTTGATCTAAAAGCATTGCAGATGATTGGTCAAATTCAAATTAAACACGATATACTGTAGCCGTATCCTAGATAAGAGAGGATGTGGCATACCAGAATGCACTTTCCACTGCTCATATTTATCATGAGACCTTTAAAATATTTATTTCCAAATTTGCTTGAAATGTTATCCGTTATTCTTGAATACTTTTAAATAATGTTAAAGGTCAAGATACTCTATATGGGGCAGAATATTGAAGATTCATACTGAAAGCCAACTGGTTTTTAATAGTATTGGTTTAGTTTTTCAATAATGGAAGTAATTCATTCCCAAGATTCAAATTGCTTTTCTGTGCTCGGTTCAGTTTTAGGCTTGTTTGTACATCAAACATTCACATTCTGGGCCAGTTGATATTCTGTTAGTCATAACACTTCTGTTTGGTGTATACTTTTTGTTTATTTACACTAAACACATAATCCTGCAATTTAATGTGCATTGCATAGACACTACTGGTGTTTTCCTTGTTATTCATAAACATAATTTATCATTCAAATATCACCTATCATATGATGTCCCATCAAATTTCCATGAGTCATACTTGCAACTTTTAATTCACATAGAATTAGAACACTGTTAATGTCCAATGGTCCAATTGATGGTCCAGTTAGATATTTATTACTAGGCTAAAGCGGGAAATAATTCTATACTACACTACAAGCAAGGAATGCATGTGTTACAGGTGATAGGTCCATAACCCATAGTCTATAGACAGTTAATACTAGAGCTAGGTACAATAGCCACTAAGAGGCTGTTTTGGTTGTGCTAGACATTGTTAAGGTAGTTGGTAGTACAATAACAGGTATAGAAGAAGAGGAGCTACAGTAAAGTGGTAGTGCAGGGAAATGTTCACTTGTTAAGGTTCTGTTGCTATTAGGGTAGGAAAGCTGTGCAGTGGAGTAGACAGGAAGAACATGCATCTGAAACAAAAATGCATATGGGTAAAAATTGAAGCAAACATGACATACTGTACAACAATGTAATTACTTGATAAACATATCAATAGAGGCTTTAAATAAAATGAATTAATACAAGCATATACTGATTTATGTTTATAAAATCCCTACTCCTTAGTGCAGACAAAACTTCAGTGCCTATTTCAATGTTTTAAATTTCTTATTAAGAATAAAACTTAATCATAAATCAACTTAATCAACTAGTGCTTTCAGGGCTATTTGATAATACACAATATACAAATGATAATTCTTGAATAGTTCAATATTTTGAGACTGGAATATTCAAGTTTCACCGGTAAAACTTCAATATTCCAGTATTACTGGTCAAACTTGAACATTCAAGTCTCACCAGTGAAACTTGAATATTCCAGTATTACTGGTAAAACTTGAATATTCCAGTATCACCAGTGAAACTTGAATATTCCAGTATTACTGGTAAAACTTGAATATTCCAGTATCACCAGTGAAACTTGGATATTCCAGTATAACTGGTGGAACTTGAATATTCCAGTATCACTGGTAAAACTTGAATATTCAAGTCTCAAAATAATGAACTCAATTTAACTGGCAATATACTTGAACAATCAAGTCATCTATAGATAACCTTTGTACTTCAAGACTGAATTAATCCAGTCAGTCATACATGTCATACGACTTAAGATATTTTAAGGACAAGGGAATTTCAATGTGGTTAAACACGTTTTGAAAAAAGGCGCTTTTCCGAGGGTGTGGCGGTTTCCATTCTCTAACAGAAACCTGTTTTCAACAAACTTGGAGGGCTATTATTCAAATATGCATCAAATCCCTGCAACCCATTTGAATGTGTGCATCTTTGTCCAATCAGCTCCCAGAAGACTGACCATATGGTTTGTGTTATTTGGGTCACAAGGGCTTGAAGCTTGACTAAACAAGGCATAACATGCAAAATGTTACAACCTACCACTTGTTACAGACACTGAACACCAAAAGTTGACCACGAAAAAAGTTGGAGAATAGGCCTATAACAGTGTGTCAACACTTCTAGTGGCAACAACATACTTAATTTTTAATTTGAAAAATGGCCCTGCCTGATTTAATATCAAAGCATCTTATTTATTCAAATGTCCATTTGTGATAGAGTTGATCTATGGATCCAGTTCACTTAAGAATTATATTCCGTCATGTTGAACAATATACAATGGAAGTTTGTGATGTCACAATGTGAATAGTAGCTCCAATGGCATTCCAGCATTAATAAGACCTCTCCCATCAGGAAATGTAACCAGCACCACAGCACAATATTGCTACACTGTCAGTGAAGCGTATGGTACAAGCATGTATGGTTTCCCTCATCAAATTCATTTTCCTGAAATGAACCATATATGTTAGTCTAGTACCTCTGCTCAATGAGTTTAAATAGGAACATACTGATAAATAAGAGTTATGTACTGGGAGGTTTTGGATATGGGGTTTATCCAGGGGGAGATATGCATATCTACCTGAGGGACCGTAGGGACCGAAGGTAGATGTGCATATCTCACGAGGGATGAACCCAATATCCAAACTGACCGTACATAACTGCTTTATCCTATACCAAGTAGAGTTTTCAGGGGCATATGGCCATTTCAATAGTACAAGGTGTAAAAATAAACAAATCATTCATATGCAAAGTCATTTTATTGCATAACCGGAAGCGGGAAGATATGCACCAAAGCGGGAGATATGGCGGGTGGTTCTTGATATGGAAACCTCAAAATCAGGATATGGGATATATCTTACCAACTTATCTCCCTAAAACTCTACTTGGCATAGGATAAAGTGTTCTATACTATACAGTACACATATTTTATCTTGAAACAAAACATATTCCTACTTTCAAAAATTCATGTTTTTCCTATTTTCCTTTCACAGTGAGAAAAACAAGACTTGATAAGAACCAAGACGACAATATTTTTCATAACATGAGAAGTGAGATTTAGAATTTTACATTATAAAAAGAAAAATCTGGAAGATTAAAGGCAGATTCAAATTTGACATTGTCTGAAGGAGATACTAAAATTGTTGTCAAGATGACTACTGTACTTCAGTGCCTCCTTGCTAGATATGCTACTAAAATATGGAATCAAGAGACAACTAGACTCCATCAAAGATCCTCTGAATTCATACCTGTCTAAACTATTTAGAGGTCATTTTCCCTACTTTGCATCTGAATACATACCACCAGTCCTGAACCATTTAGATACCCCTTTCCCTTATACATACCAGTCTTGAACCATTTAAGGACCCCTCTTCCCCACTGTGTATCTTAATTCATACCTGTCTTGAACCATTTAGGGACCCCTTTCCCTGCTGGTTTAGATGTTGATTTAGCTGCATTATTGGCAGGTCGCTTACTCTGAGTTGCCATGGCTTCATCACTAGAACTCCCCACAGCCTCATGCTCTCTCTTCATACTAGGAATAACATGATTAGAATCGTCAAATCAATATCAACCTAATTTATTTAAATGTTATCTCAATAAATAGGCCTACATTTATAATAGGGTGTATGGCAAACCCCTACACCCTGGTATCAGCAATTTTTTATGGATCTTAACTCCTGTTAGCATCAACTTCTGAGATAAATTAACCCTGTTATTATCAACCAATATTATCATCAACCCCTGGTACCATCAACTCCTACTACAGTATTATCAATCTATTTATTATCAACCCATGTTATCTTATCATCAACTCCTGTTATCATCAAACTCTTTTAACAATCCTTGTCATCATCAAACTCTGTTGTTATCATCAACTGCTGTTGACATGACCATGGGTTGCATCGACCAAGAGTTAAAGTGAATAAAGACAAAAGCTTACCCTTGTATGGCAACAAGATCTGCAGCTTGCTGGCTACTAGGCTCACATTGTAACAATGTACTAGCCAAATAGTGCTCTGGAAATAAAACATCCATACTTTAATGTTTTAGAAATAAAACATTCAGACGTTAGTACTTTTGAAATAAAACATTCAGACTTTAGCGCATTAGAAATAAAGCATTCAGATTTTAGCGCTTTAGAAATAAAACATTCAGACGTTAATGCTTTACATATAAAACATTCAGACTTTAGTGCTTTAAAAATAAAACATTCAGACAAAATCGCTCTTAATGTTATTCATTTGTTATTTAGTTTCAGCCAATAAGGTTTAACTTCAACTTTGAAGTTATACTCGTATAACCATCTCCCAAAGGAGAAACCTACATGTACCTTGTTTTTCCTTGCAGCCAAAGTAAACAACAGAAGCTGGAAGTAGCTTAGCATCAAACATGTTCATTGAGTTATCTTTCAGTTCACATTTAGGGGGAGATGTATACAGGTAGAAGTCAAGAGATGGATCAGCCAAGTTCTCCTTAACAAACTTTTCCACAGCAAACACTGAAACGTACAATAATTTTCTTGTTAATTTGTCCACCAGTTATTTTTAATTTTTTAGCCCCATAAATGGGTTTGTTTTGGATGTTGGTAGCTATCAAAGCAAATTTAATTATTCTTCAACTAATATATTGGCATTCGGTGGATTGCCCCATTGTTTTTTCAAATCTGGTGCCAAAAGTGAATACAATTTGCCAATGGCTGCTGTGAGTTTCAAACAATGAAATCCTTCTTAATTGTGTGGCCAAGTGCGGTTGGTAGTTGGGTGAATACACATATATAACACAAGTATTTGTTGTTCAATTCAATTCAATTTATTATTCAATTCTAGTTTTCATACAATATTAATTTACAAGTGATATGAAAATGACACCCCGAGGGGTGTATGGATTCCATGTTTTGAAAAAATAAAATGTATTATACATAAAGCATGTCATGTTAGAACAGTTATTGTAATGTACAAATTTACAAAGCATACATTTTTAATTATCTTGATGTAACATAGTGGAAGTATGGTTCAAACTAACTAATAATGACTTAACAAATTGGACTTAAACTTTCGTTGAAACATTTTTATATGAATTGAGTTTCTCAAATCAGTAGATAAAGAGTTATAAATTGATGGGCCACTTGTCCCGATTGATTTCCTTCCATATTCTGTTCTAAAAGGTTGAACAATCAAATCATTTTTTGATTTTGTGTCATGTGAGTGAATTGTTGATCTTAATGAGAAAAGATGGTTGAATTTTTTAAAAGGGAAATCAGGCGATTCAGAAAGTGTTTTTTGTACAAAGCTAGCTGTTTGATGGGAATGTATATCAAATACATTTAAAATTTTTAGCTTCTGAAATAGTGGACCTGAAGCGGCAAAGCTATCAGAATACGTAATGACTCTTAAGAATTTCTTTTGCAAAATATATAATTTCTGAATGAGTGTTTTTATGGCATTTCCCCATAAGATATTTCCATAGCTTAAGTAAGAATAAATCATTGAATAATAAATTGTAGTCATGGCATTCAAGGTCAGTCGATGTCTAGTCCTGTATACTATACCAATCAAATTAGAGATTTTTGTACATATAGCATTAATGTGAGGAGACCAGTGTAACTTTGAATCAATGATAACGCCAAGGAAATTAATTTCTTTCACCTCTTCAATTGGTTGATTGTCAATCTTAAGGATAATATTCTTGTCGTTCAGATCTCTTTTATTGCTAAATATCATAAACTTGGTTTTTTCAACATTAAGAGTTAGTTTATTTGCCTTCATCCAATTTGAGACATTTTGTAATTCTTCATTCATTTCAATGACTAGATTTTCAATATTTTTGTCAGTAAGCGCAATATTTGTGTCGTCAGCATATAAAACAAAGGATAGTTTATTTGAGACGAGATATATGTCATTAATGAATATTATAAATAAGAGGGGGCCTATTACCGACCCTTGTGGTACTCCATATTCAACTGTATTTTCAATTGATCTATATTTCACATCAGTCTCTGTAAATTGGTCAAGTGAAACATTCTTCTTTGTAAATTCAGTGATGATTCTTCTATTTTCAAGATAACTTGTGAACCAAGAAAGAGCTACTCCACAAATTCCATAGAATTCAAGTTTTTGTAATAATATTTTATGATCAACGGTGTCAAAGGCTTTAGTTAAATCAATATAAATACCAAGACTAGTTTTCCCTGTATCTAAAGACTTTCTAATATTTTCAATGAAATTTAAAAGGGCCATGTATGTTGAATGTTTTTTCCTAAAGCCATATTGGTGTAAGTATAAAATTTCATATTTTTCAAGAAATACGGTAACCTTATCATGAACAATTTTTTCCGACATTTTAGAAAATACACTTAAGATAGAAATGGGTCTGTAGTTATTAAAAATTTCTTTTAAACCTTTTTTAAATATAGGAATGACTAGCAATTTTCAATGCATCAGGAAATGTTCCAGTAGAGATTGACAGGTTAAAAATCTGTGTAAGTGGGGCTGATAAAGATTCTTTTAGTAATTTGACAACTGAGGGCTTAATATCGTCTATTGAAGCAGCAGAAGGTTTCAAAGATTTAAGTTGATTCTTAACATCAGTTTCTGTTACAGGAGATAAAAAGAGTGATTTATCATTTGAATTAATTTTTCTTAAATTTACCATTGGATCAGCATTGCTTTGAATCTTATTTGCAAGTTTATTGCCAATAGAGCTAAAGAAATTATTAAAGTTTTCAGCTATTTCAGCGCCATCTGTAGTTTGTCGATTATTAAGGTTAAATGTATTATTTATTTTTGATTGACCAGACTTTTTCTTTAAGATGGTGTTAATTAAATTCCAGGATTTTTTTATGTTGCCTTTATTTGCTTCAAATTTATTTTTGAAATAAGCTTTTTCAGCATTTCGAATTACATGAGTTAATTTATTTTTATACCTTTTATACATGGCTTTGTTTTCCAGTGTTGGATTCTTTTTGTATTTAATATAAAGCTTATTTTTGTATCTAGCTGATATAATAATTCCAAGAGTAATCCAGGGTTTTTCATTATCATTAAAAGTCCTGACTATTTTTGATTTTACTGGTAGACACCTATTATAAGCTTCAGTAAACGTTTCAATAAAAGAATTATTAGCATTATTTACACACTGAGATTGATAAATAGCATGCCAATTAATCTTTGAGATCTCTGATTGGAGTCTTGTGCATGTTTCATCATTAATTAGTCTGTATTGGATCTTTAGTTTTTTAACTTTGGGCTTCTCATGATTATTAACAGCATAAATGGGAAAATGATCTGAAATATCATACAAAATGATACCAGATTGAGCAACATTATGAGCATTGGTAAAAATGTTATCAATTAAAGTAGCACAGTTTCTGGTTATTCTTGAGGGCCTATAAATCAACGGCATATAATTGTTTGTATATAAATTACACAAGAAATCATTTGTTTGATCATGGTCATTTGCTTTAAAAAGATCGACATTAAAGTCTCCAAGGATATAAGAAATTTTGTTCTCAGAAGCCACTTTTTCTAAGAATATATTAAATACATTATTAAAATCATTTAAGTTAGCATTGGGAGGCTTGTAAACAGCAGTTACAATAATATTTTTTCCTTCATCTTGTTTTATTTCAATGGACACTGATTCATATTTATCAGAATTAAGTTTGAGATCTGACCTTTCCTCAAATTTGTACTGTTTTGCAATATGTAGGCAAACTCCCCCACCTCTAGACTGTTTTCTCGAATTAAATACAGTATTATATCCATTTAGTGAAAAAAGCCTCTCATTGTGTTGAGTTAACCATGTTTCAGACATGGCTATCACAGAGAAGGAATTTTTACTCAAAGAGTTTAGCATTTCAAATTTCCAATTGTTTTTTGGTAAGCTTCTCATATTCATGTGGAGTATAGTGAAAATGAATCACATTTTATTGTTGAATTTAATGTATCAATATTCACATAATTACACTCTTTAGCGATGTTATGCATATCTGTTTGTACGTTGTCAATGTGATCTTCATTTGCAATGTGTTTGTCAAAATCAAGTGGATTGAAAAGTAAATTATCAAAAAAGTCAAGTCCATGTGTTATGTCCATAAATTCAACATTTGAACACTCATAAAATGGAAGATCTTTTAGAGAATTAGCCATTGTCAAGTTCAAATGGTAAAATTTGTTGAAAAGCCATTTTTTCCTTTGAAATGCTTAATGAAATACTTCCAGCCAGGAAACACAATGCTTTGATTGTCATCAATATTTTAAAGGATTCTAAATTCATTGCAGAAATAAAAAGTAACAAATAAAAATAAAATGGTGCAAGTGATTTGCTTGCAAACATATATACAAGATGTAATACTATTTGGAGCATCTCTTAACTCAAGAACTAAATGCTACAGATATAAGGGTAAACATGTAGTACTGTGTAGTTGTGAGAGATCATATATAAATGCATATACAAAAATATGTATGGAGGAAAGAACAAAATATATATATATTCCATCACAGCTCAAACACATTATTATGTGTAATTAGATAACTGTATTATAGGCTTGTTTGGAATAATCCATGAAATGATATTCAAGACTCAAAATTCAAAATTGCAACTTATTTGCAAGGGCGATCCAGTTAACCTTGATGCTTGGACTGAGAAAAATGGTATAAAATAATCTGAAAATCCATTTGTAAGGGCAATCAAGTGTAATCAAATTCTTTATCAAAATGCAAAAGACTTTCATCACAACACAATATTTTGTCATAAAAAGCAGCAAAGCTCAAATTGCAAGGGCAATCCAGTCTCACCAGTCAAGCAATTATTATAAGAAAATTATATATCGGGTTGACTGGAGCTATGTACTGAAGTTCAAAGAGAAATAAATGGAATTAAATGTTCACTGGCATGTAGCGGCCCTGATATCGATAAATTCTACACGCAATATAACCCGATTTTAGATGCTTGGTTAAAACTTTACACGAAAAAGCCTCGATATCCGGGCATTTACTCTTACACTGAACTGAAAATAGCATCGTCTAAACGTGTATGTCTTGGCTTCCGGGTAAGTTTATCAACATTTATACTCAATTGAAAGAGCAGTCGTGCTTATATCGTGTACCAGTTTGATTGTTTTATATGTGTGTGTATTTATAATATGATAGCCCAGTAATACCGTGTCGTTAGAACAAGTGCTAGATATCGAACCGATGACCTGAAATTAGATTATTGGACTGATCGCGCATCTGATATTAGATGATTAATTTGCATTGAATCTGATATTAACTTGCAACCCAATACCACAGTAAATACAATGACTTTACATTAGAATGATAACACGGCCTCATATTCTAATTCATTATACGTCCATTGCAGGCCAAAAATGTTTCAATGTGGATATTGTAATGCACACGATAATACATTCGATTCGTATATATTGATCATACATCAATATCCTAGATGCGAGTAGAAATAATCTTGATTTACGTCATTAAAAATTCACAATTCTGTCAA